AGCCCGCTCGGTCTCCTCGGGAGGCGCCCCCCACCCCCACCACCACACGCACACTCAAGGCCTCTCCTCCCCTCTTACCCTCCACGGTCACGATCCCGGTCCCGGTCCCCAAAGCCGCCCCCGCGCATGGTCCCAAATGGATAGAGATCTGGGAGCGGGGCACGGATGGCCGGGCTCGGGAGGACCTGCGGCTCCGGTCTTGTGACGACCGATGGCGGCGGCGCCTCCGCTGTTGGGGCGGCGGCAGGCGCGGCGCTCTCTCGCTCCGACGCGCTGTCTCCCGTCGCAGACGCCACCGTCGCCGCCTCTCTCGTCGGAGACGGGAGCAAAACACAGAGAATCGGGGTAATAAAAACGGTGGGTAGGTTTGGCTACCCTCAAACCCGGCAGTGCCGCGGTTAGGCGTCTCCTTCCTTCCCAGCGACTGCACAAAATGGCGGCCGCCGCTGAGTCTGCTCCAACTTAACGCTACGTACGTCGGAGACGGTACGTAAACAGCGTCTCGGAATAGCCCGCGGGCTCCGCGAGGTATTACGGGTATTCGTGGAAACACTTTACGTCAGTTGCGGAAATGGGCGTAGTTTACGGTCCATAGAAGAAAAAAAAAAGTACGGAGCGGGCGTAGAGTTCTCGCGCCACTTGAACTAGAGCGTGGTGTAGGGTGGGGGGGAAGAGCCTCCGGTGCGACGTAACATTCTTTGCGTCGTTATCCGGCCCACTATTGCGAAGATGCGCAGTATGCGTAGCGCATTCTGTTTAGAGAATAGAGGATTTTGCCTGATTCCGACTTCGGGACAGAACCCGGGGTCGGCTAGTGCAAGTTGCTTTGCGGAGACAATAACCGTCCTCCATATTGTAGTCGCCAAGTTTCGGGGTCTCCTGGTGCCAGAGGCCGGGAGATGGGTCCCCGACTGGCCCTCCGAGAGCGCCCTGGCGGACTCTCTCACCCCGCCGCCCTGGGCCCGCCAAGAATGGCGGCGCTCCCAGCGCCATTTCCTTTCGGTCGCCTCTCGCTGCGCTGTCGCCGGCAGCCATGATGGATGCGCCGTGACCCTTTCTTTCGGGAGTTGTGAGGCGTCGACGTCGCGCACTGAGGCGCATTTTCTGAACTGAATATTTTCACCGCCCCGGCCGAGCGCAGTTGTTGTGAATACAGCTGTGCTCGGGGCCCTCCTAGGCGGACGCCGCGGTCGCTTTGGCGCCATTAAACGGCCCTCCCTAAGAGCCTGGTGGCGGGACTCCCCTCCCCCAGAACGAAAAGGTTTCAGAGCGGGCGTGTGCAGACACGAGGGGAAGGCGTGGATGGAAGTTTAAGCCATAGGCCGCGGCCTCCGCTCACTTCCCTGGAGACTGGCGTCCCTCCCTTTCCCCTCAGACCGCACGCTGGAGTCTCGCAAGCGTGGCCGAGGGGTGTCACAGCTTGAGAACAGCTCCTCCAGCGTCTCGTTTCTGTCTACAGATGAGTGGAAGGGGGAGATTCGAGGCCCCTCATCGTGGGGGCTGTGTTTCCCGAGCTATGGGGAAAGTAGCACAAGGAAGGGCACTTCATGAGAGGCCGCTGCGATGTCACTTGGGCCACAGACACGAAGGGACGGTCACGGACCCATTGGACTCTCCGAGTTGCAGGACCAGGCGCTGCGCTAGCAAATGGGCCACGTGGCGACAAGCAAGTACCTGCACTCGTGGAGTTTACACTCAAGAGGAGGAGACAGATAACACGCGTTTTACTTAAAGCCGTGGCTAACTAAAAGATCAACAACAACAGCACAAAGTATGGAAAAGGCACGAAGAGCGCATGCTAGTTACATTGGGTGTTGTGGGAAGACCTTCCTAAGCAAGTGACATGTGAACAGAGGCCTCAAGTGAGGGAACCCTCCTTGCTCACGGAGGAAAGAGCAAGTCCAAAGGCCCTGCGGCAGACTGTGGACAGAGTAGAGCAAGGAGGAAAAAATGAGAGAGGACCACATCATGAAGGACTTGGAGGCTATGGAAGGTTTTAAGCAGAGTGGCATAATGAAAGGACCCCATCGACAACTAGCAGGTTATTGAAGCATTCGTATTAATGAATGAGGAGGCTAGTGCAGTAATCTAGGCAAGAGATGGTGGGGCTAGATGCCAGGTAGTAAATAGCAAAGGGTTGGGGAGAAATGTTTGACTGAAAATTGAGCTGATGATTTACTGATGGGTGGGACATGAAGGAGTGAGCAATGAATCTTGTAGGAGTCAGCCAAGGAATAGTAAGCTGCAGGTGTGATTAGGACAGTATGATAGGCACTGGGGCGGTTATTTGGTCTAGTTTACCTGTTTACGACATACGCTAATAATCAACTGTGAAGCTCTCTATACAGTGGTAGAGATGGTTCCTAAAATAAACTAGGTCCACTAAAACCTAGCCTATATATATATGTGTATATATATATATATATATATATATATATATATATATATATATATATATATATATATATATATATATATTCGTGTACACTCTTTTGCAGAGAGAGTTGTATTTCTTTGTCTGAAAGAAATTTTTTCTGGTTCATTTGTGTCTTTTCTGTGGTTTTATCTTGGATCTCTAGATCCTTCAAGCAGAGTTACCTGTTTCAATTTCAAAACTGTCAGATGTATATAGCTCTTGTGCAGAAAGACTTTGAACCAGATTAGAATGATTACTGTAAATGAAACTTTACTGTATCAATTGTCATTTTCTTCCTCTTCTTGAGGAATCTGGAGTTTTAATTTTTAATGCAAAATTTGAATACAGTAGAGAACTTTTTATGTATGCAATCAATATGCAAATAATTTTCAGATTTATTTGGTTTCTAAAATAATGG